CTGTCGGGACGAGAGGAAATAAATATTAGGAATATTATCTCAACGTGAACAAACCTCAGCGTCACTCAGAGGCTCAGACTCTCTGGGTCCTGGAAGCACGTTCTTTAATCTGCAGCTTCTTCAGGAGGATTCATAGGGGGAACTTTAGAGAAATGTTCCCTTAAATGTATACTGTACATCTCATTTCATATTTCATACTTCTGTTTTACTTAAAGCAGAGTTTTGTGCTCACTTTTTCTACGGAGGTTTGTTGGAATTTTATCCGTTAGTGGTTTGGGATTATTTAGTCTGGGTTAGATCTATCCATTCTACTCAGGCCTCTTAACTTCCTTAACTGTTGAAGTAATGATGGTAATATTTAACACTTTGATTGCAAAAAGAAACCCATTAACATAACAAAATATATATGTTCTCCCAGGCTTCAGTTTATTGAATACTGGTGTAAACTCCAGCTCTGGCTTTGGGTGCCAACACTGGCCCAAAGCTGTCCTGATCCAAATTCAAAGATCTTAAATATCTTAGCAGCGGGATGTGTGCCAGAGCGAGGCCGAGTGTGTGACACTGAGCCGCTAAACTGCAATATATTTAAATTGAAAGAACAATGAGGCAAAATGGAGTTGCAGAGACATGCAAACCAAACTTGGGCAGCTGGTTACAACTATCCATCATCCCATACCTTCATAATACCAGAGGTCAGTGAGTTTGTGTGTGTCCTGGTACAGCCAACGGTTACCAAGGAGACACACTTAAATTGCGTGTAAACAAAGGGCAGCTTAACAATCTACTGAAAGTGAAACACTCAAACAAAATGAGTCCATGTGTCAACTTTGACTTCAATGATATACTGAGTGTGTGTGTGTGAGAGTGTGTGTGCAGGGAGGTCTGTTTACACTGAGATACACTGCCGCTCTCAGCAGTATTTCAGACCCGTCGGTGTGTTTACTGTATATCACACACACTTCAAGATTTCGTTATTTCCTGCGAGTTTGCAGCCGATCAAATCTCTCTCGACTTCAAAAGCATGCTGATAATTCATGTTTTCAATGTAACATGTCGTGCTTTGGGAGTTTTGTTTCTGTATGTTATAATCCTTGCGTAAAAATCACTCAAACATCACGTCAAAATGTCAGAGTTGCATTTACAACCACTTTTTGATTACACTAGTTATTTAAAACAGTCCAATTTGAACACAAAAACTTCGGTAAATTAGCAAAAAGGTGAACATACTTTATCAAAAAGAGATGAATTAGCAAATCAACAAAGTGTCCATCAGTAATTCTGACTTCCTCCATGTGGATATCATCTCTTAGCCTGTTAAAAAAAAAAAAAAATTGTGGTAATGTACTTAAGGTACCAGTGGTATGAACTGATATCCAGGGCTTTCACTTCCATTTTAAAACAGCAGCACACATACAAAATCAAACTGACTACAAACAACAAACACATGAGAGTACTAATGTAATCTCCACTGGTTTTAAAACTCACTCACAATTTCTTTATTTTGATTCACATCTTCTCTGTACTATAAACTAAAAGTGGCTAATGGAAGGGAGTAAACCATTTGACTTCTTTAATCCACCAAACAAACCGAGACACACAGATCCATTACAGATTTAATGTTCTGGATTAAACTAAACAGAAGAACGCTTTTTTGTTTGCAATCCTGAATCTTATTTGACCTCGACTCCATCCAAAAAAGCACAGATTAGATATGATTTGTTCAAAAAGTCTCAAAAATAAAAAAAGTATAATGTAATATTTTTGGCTGGATGAATAGTCTAATGACACACTGGCTGCTCTCATAGTGCTTTGGTGGAGTTATAATGTTGTAATGGAGACAGTGAGTTAGTTGTGCATAATTTACATTTTACAAACGGTTAACCATGTCAGGTACTGTATGCTGAAAGGTCATTAACAAGCCCTGTTTCTAAGACAACACTAACTGGATTACTTTGATATTGAATTAAACTTAATCTGATCATTCTCAGGCAAATCCTATACATTTCAAAGCTGATTTATAGAGGTTTATTGTGAAGGACAACCTCTGGACGTGTAAGAACATAAATATAGATAGATGTCTGTAATGTCAGAGTTTTGAGAAGTATTTGGATTTATAAAGAACATCTGAGTGAAACTGGGCTAAACGTGGTTTTAAAAGTAAGAATTCTAACTCTCTCAGGAACTACGACTATATCGTGTTATCAAAACATCTTTACAAAGGTTTCATTGCTGACCGAAATATAGCACACTCTCCTAGACATGTTTTCATCCACATATGATATGATGCTCAATGGAACATGAACAGGACATTTAATGGTCCGTAAAGAATCCAGAACATCTCATCAGCTGCACTCAAGAGGTGTAACTGAGACACAGTATGAAGAAACGTTAAGAAAATCCAATGAGCACACACAGAGAGTAATGAACTAAAGCTTTAAAGGTCCCCTATTATACTCTTGTTCATCAATAGGTCTCAGATATATACAAAACATGTCTCTAAAGAGTTTGGCTGAAACACCAAACAGATCATTGCAGCATCCCATAATCCCCTCTGTTTCAGCCCTGTTTCAAAAGTGCTGATTCTGTGTCTGTAGCTTTAAATGCTAATGAGCTGCTGCTGGCCACGCCCCTCTGAGAAGTGATTGGTTTAAAAAGAACACAATGGTGCTCTAGGAGGAGATTTAGGTGATAAGGTGGGAGGGGGTTACCTTGGTTGGTGATTGGCTAATGGTTACACAACCCAAAAAAACATTGTGACATCACAACGTGGCCAAAATCTGATCAGCTCATTTTCAGACAGGTTTTTATTAGGGCTGTCAAGTTAACGCGTTAATAACGCGTTAACGCAAAAAAAAATTAACGCCACTAATTATTTTAACGCGATTAACGCATGTGTATTTTTTGTCCTCGGCCGCCCCGTAGTTTCAGAGCGCATCGAGTTTAAAATACCATCTACAAGCTGATTCTGACAGCCCCGCTCCTGCACCCGCTTGTGGCAGACCACACTTCCACGCTCACCGGCAGGCCCGGACTGGCCATCGGGAGGACCGGGAGGGTGTGTGTATGTGTGGGGCGACTCGCGCGAGCGAGGCACACCTTACGTGTTGTTGTTGTTAGCATCTGGTGCTAGCTAGCTGCGCTAACGGATATAAGGAGCTGTTTCAATGACATTTCGCCAACAACTGCGCCGAGCACTTGACTTTATGCAGGTAGCCAGACAGTGGGACATTGTACGAAAAGTCAGCACACTCAGCACGGATAGTACGCGCAACATGATTGCAGCTCCCGTTCGAGCATATATGCCTTGAGCTGCACATACTGTAGCTCCAACGATCCATCACAGTGTCTCTCCACACACACACACACACACACACACACACACACACACACACACACACACACACACACACACACACACACACACACACACACACACACACACACACACACACACACACACACACACACTTTGTATTGTATTATTGTATGAGAGGTTCCAGGTTGAATTGAGGCGAATATTTGTAATGTTCAGAGGTTGTTGTGTTTAATATTCATGAGAATATTTGTCATTTTTCAAATGATAATAAACAAACAAACATATAAAGCATATTTGTCCACTCATATGTTGATAAGAGTATTAAAAACTTGAAAAATATCCCTCTAAGGTACATTTAGAACAGATACAAAATGTGCGATTAATTTGCGATTAATCGCGATTAACTATGGACAATCATGCGATTAATCGCGATTAAATATTTTAATCGACTGACAGCCCTAGTTTTTATATAAATGGATCAGGACAAAAAGTGAGAGAATCTTTTTCCCTGAAAATTTCGGAACCTCTCAACACAGAGGGGACACGTATTTATGTAGACATTAAAAAGGAAAGGAATTTTTACAATAGGTGACCTTTAACTAAATGCTAACCACGCTGAGTGACTTTCTAACATCAGGTTTTCCTCACTCCTCCCCAGCTAGAAATGTTTGGTTCTAAAAACATTCTGAGAAGGTTACCATTCACTGTTCTAGGAATGTTTTCATCGGGAAGTTTTCTTTTGGTTCCCAGAATGTTCTTCTGAAAGGTAGGATAACGTTCTCTAAAAACATTCTTAAAATATTTTGTGATGACCTTCTTCAAATGTTTTTGATAACATTGTTCGAACATTATGCCCTGCTATTCTTATAACGTTTTCAGCTGCAAGTTAGATTTTTTTATGTTGCCAGAATGTTATTATTTTAGAGTAGGATAACGTGCTTTATCGTTCCGATTTATCAGAAGTCTTTTTTTTTTCTTTTTTTTTAAAAATGCGACCAGCAGCTAGTACGAGTCACTGTCGGTGTCACATGTACTGGAGGGGACCCAGAATCAGACTCGGAATCAGTTGGTGAAAGTAACATTTGTTTATTAGAAAAGGGGAGCTGGGAGTGGAGGTTGGTTATGGCGGCAGTGGGAAACAGTTGTTCCAGGGTGGGTAGAGAGGCCTGGCTGGTCTTGGGAGTGTGGAAGGCCTTGGATTCCTCCTGGGAGAGACATACAAATGAGTGTGAGGCAAAAGCTAACAGTTAGAACCTACAGACGAGACACAACCTATATAGTCAGAAAAAAGTGTGATTATTTTCTGATATTTTACACATATGATATCATGAATACTGTGGGCCTACATACCTTAGTGTGATTATAAGAGCATGTGAGTGAATATTGGCATGCACATTCGTTTTTATACGTCCTATTCATTGTCTCAATGCGCTCATACATCTTCAGAAAGTTATCATCAAAAATGTTAAGAATGTTTTTAGAGAACGTTATCCTACCTTTCAGAAGAACATTCTGGGAACCAAAATAAAACGTCCCGCTGAAAACGTTTTAAGAACAGTAGGGCATAATGTTCTAACAATGTTATCAAAAACATCTTAAGAAGGTTATCAAAAACATTTTAAGAAGGTTATCACCAAACATTTCAAGAATGTTTTTTAAGAACGTTATCCTACCTTTCAGAAGA